AAGGTAGCTCTTTCTTGCTTCAGCGGCAAGAAAGGGTGAAGCCAGTAAATATTTGAAATGATGCAACACACAAGAGTATCAACAATGAAAAATTATTTTAACACTAAAATAAACATTGTGTGTATGCACTTACGACCAATTGGGGCCAGTTTATTTTTGTCTGATTTATCCAACTCAGCGTTTTTCTGCTGGGCCCAAAGCCGCCATACTTCCAGTCCTTCTTCTGGTTTCAGTGTGGTGGGCAGTAGTAGCTCCTGTACTTGCACCTGCTGTTGGCCTTGGCCATCTACCTCTGCTACCACTGTCTGACCCTGCAAATACACAAACACACCAACACTGTTACCTCATACAATAAACTTATTACAGAAGAATTACATGTCTACATGATTATTTTGTCAAGATAAAAGACCAACCAGTAGCTCAACACCTATGTTGATACCTGCAGCTGCTGTGCGTCCTGCCCTGACAGTCCCTGCGTGTGCAGCACCTGCTGCTGTGGGTCCCAGATAAGGGACTGTGTAGCATTGGAGTAGCCCTGTACTGCCACTGGGATGTGGATGTTTCCATTCATCAGCTGAGCAGGGAACAGTGTGTTTGCAGCCAATGTGTGCACCAATTCTTCCTGGCCTCCCATTCCTCCGGAGCTTGTTATGCTGGAAACAGCCTGCGCCGTCTGACTTTGACTGGCAGAGTTTTTCAGCTTGTCATTCTCAACAGTAACTTGTGCTGGCATTGTGGTCATTGTTGTAGTGTTTGCTCCTGCAACTTGCACTGTTCCATAAGCCTCCTGGGGGATGGCAATGTGCGTGACCTGCTCCCGACCTCCAGGCGTAGCAGGAGCAGAATACACAGGGATGGTCCAGGTTTCTCCTGTGGGACTGGTAATAGTGCCTGTAGCACTGTAAAGGTGGGAGCTGTCCACAGTTAGGAGGTCTGGTCGTAGGGACACGTAACTCTGCTGCTGGCCCTGTCCCTGAGGGATAGCCAGGACTGTGGCTACCTGCTGACCAGGCAGGGCATATGACACAGTAATAGGCATATCCACCTTACGTTTCTTGGCTGGCTGGAGGACACCCGCTCCCTGGGATGTGGCAACTGCTGTTCCAAGTACCCGCCTCTCTGTACTGTCCTGTTGCTGGGTGGGAGAAAGGGCCCCCACTGTCTGGATTTGGATCTGTTGTCCTCCTGCAACCGCTGCCACCAACTGGGCTTGCAGCTAAAACACATGAGAAGAAGTTTATGACTAAATTCAAACTCTGGTTATGGACAAAATTTGCAATCCTGTTATGATGCTGTGCAGGCATGTGTATGCAAGTACCTGTTGGTGCTGCTCCTCGGTGAGTTCCCCAGGCTGAATCAGCTGTGCAGTAGTCACACCTTGTAGCTGTTGATGAGAGCCAGAGGGCACTTGGAGGACCTGACCCAGCATCTGACCTTGCTGCTGACCCTGGATTTGCACCTGAAAATAGAGATAACAGGACATGAATGAAATAGAAAGGGATTATGTTATAAACACAATGTAAAGGTATAACAAAGGTACAAACCTGTACTATCTGTTGCTCTGTATTCTGCTGTACAGATTGCTGCTGAGACGTGGAGTCCTGCATCTGTTGCTGTTGCGGCTGAACCTGCACCTGAACCTGCAACAGAAGTCAGCTTCTGTCAGACAACTTAATTTTGAGGACAAAGCCCTTTAATGGTTTGCTTTATGCACACTAAATTCAGTGATTTACCGGGCAAGCCAGTTCCAATAATGACCCTGCCACCTCTGTGCTGTCTGTGTAAATACAGTTAGCTTCTTGTTGGTAGACCATAGTAGTGGTAGTGGTCGTGTTATCGGCACTTGACTGGCTGAACTCCTGCAGGGCATCTGGTCCCTTGCTGGCCAAAGACTCCAGGAACTCCTTCATGCGATGCTGAGGGATGCTCCGAGCTTTCTGCCTCACAAGCTCCTCATAGGAGCCTGTCCCATCCAGAGAGTTATTCATTGTTGCTGACAGTGCCCTCTTCTGTAGGGGGAACCTGTTGAAAAGGTAAATTATAAAGAACTATTTAAAGTTGCTATGTGCTCATGTGCGTTTACAACAACATTAACAAGAACTGGCCATAAAAACGTTTTAGTAACCCTTTAAAGACTTTTAAGACCTAAATGTAATCGATAAGCAACATTACACATCTGTGGAGTTAGACTGAACGGTGAAATGTTAAAAAAAACAAAAAAAAAAACAATGCATTAATATCAGTTGAGATTTTACAAAAGGAGTGCAGCTCAGTCCAGTGGCAACACACTGACGAAAATACGAAAGGGTTAATTCTAGCTGAGTGTATACGAGCAGGGACAAAAGCGCGGTCACTTTCCAAATCCGACGCAGTATTCAAAGCGGTCATGAAAAGTGCTGTGTAACGAAATCGTGAAAGTCTTACTCTACAGTTAAGTTACAGTTGTGTTTACAGTACAAGAACGTTAGCTCCATCACAGCTAATCTAGTTAACAGCTGACTACACAACAAGCTAGCTTAGCCAGATGCACGGCTAACTAGCCGCGTGTTGTTTGCAAATAAGAGCCAGCTACAGTTCTGTATGGCACAGTGTAATCATGCCACCGTGTCCATAAACAACAACATAATAGCTATGTTGCAAATGATACATAAGTGAACAGAAAACAAGGGAAGATGGGATAATTCTATCGTGGCCGTAAAGTTACACCGACTATGTGTCTGGTATCAAAGCTATCAGGCTAACGTTAGTAGGCGCGTTTGCTACCTCTCTTCCTCAACCGAGCCGAGGATCGAGCCACCCACAAGCACTTCTCTGCCCTCGAAACGGTGATCCTCTTACAACAAACAAGTAAGCGAAGTGGAGTTGGAATTTCCTTGTAATCTATTCTTTGTTGTTCGTTAAATAGCTAGCTGTAGTTTTTTTTCTAAACCACTCATATTTCGCTGGGCGCCATCTTACAACAACATTCCCAGACCAATGAGCAACCGAGTTGCAACTTTGTCGCTCTATCGCGATAATTCCACCACATAACATCGCGGTAACATACTCTAGCAGGGTAGTCTGTTAAAGGAGACGCACACAGGCAAAGTGACCGACAAGATCAAGTAGATGTCATGCCACCTTAAAACCCAGTTATGCCAGATAGACGCTCCTAGTGGTTCCGTGGCTTCTGAATCTTTTAAGGAGGTCTTAAAGAGATGCGCAGAATATTTGGGTGGCGTTCATGAACCTCTGGGCAGTTGAGAGTTAATTCCCACGCACTACAGTCTATCGCACAGGCTTTTACGAGTTGAACTGCGCCTCACCTGGTCAGCGGACATGAGCAGGCGGCAGAGACGAAAGCCTTAAGCCTGCACGGGAAGTCACAGAAGCATTCACGTCCTGTTAGATTTGATCCCGGTTTAACAAAATCTCAGCTTCTGCTCAGGGTCCAAACAGCTGCTGTTTTAATGACGTTCCTCTATAATGAGGAGAGTGATAACACGCGGATCTGTGCTGATCTCCATACTACTGCTTAAATCCAGTTCCAGATAAAAGCTACTTCAGGGAGTGGTGGGTGACATTTTCCCACTAATTTCTGACACTTTATACACTGAACAATCAATCGATTATTAAAGAAAATATTTGTAACATGTACTAATAATAAAAATAGCAGTTGGGTGCAGTCTTACAGTTCTCCTATTCCTGAGTAACTAATACAAAGGTGCTTTATACACAAATTCAGTATTGCAAATTTGCAGTTAATTCATATATATATATATATATAT